GGTAATTCCATAACCTTATAAAACTGGTTAGTATTAGTTAATGTTGGGACCGCGACAAAAAAGGTTCCCCTACCTTAGATAAGCAGTTATAATTTTTAGCTTGATATATCTGTGCCTAAATTAAACAAAACCATAACCCTTTATCATGAATGGCATGAAACACCCGGCATGTAATGTACATGGTAAATGGACTACATTTTTTCAGTCTTTCCAACTACGCAAATCGCCTTTTCAACCACTTAACCCTTCAAACCAAGGCTCCACAAAATGTATTTTTTAACAGTTATTTGTAACATACTGTAACATAAAAGCCCCAGACTAATTGTGTCTTTCTGCTTATTGAGTGTTAGATCAGAAATACCATGTGTCATTCAAAAAAGCAGTTACAAACAATGTGTTAGTTTGAGGAGTTCACAAAGAATGGGAGCAGCTCACAATGGGAAATGTTTGCGTTGCAGCAGCATAAAAACACAAGGCAATGTACATAAGAGAAATTAAGACACAGAAATAAACAGTCCAATATATTTCAGAAATAGAAATATTATAGCATTAAAAAGTTAAAAAGTTAAGAGATACAAAATAAAAACAAAAAAATATATATATATATGGAAAATATACATGTGGAAATACACATTTCCAGTAACAAATATAATGGAGGATATTATTGTGCAAGAATGGATTATTCAATATTAAATAGAATATGAATGTAAAATGTCCAGTGGGATTTTAAGTCCAGTTATTAAGAGAAGCTATGGAGCAGAGAGGGAATGTCTATTATATTCTGCAGACATCTAATGACAAACATAATGTCAGCACAGATTGCAAGGTGTTTCACTGCTGGGAACACACCCTGTAGGACCTGGTTTCACATTCCTTACCTGTCCTCTGACAGAATCTGACTGAACCTGTTACAGACCGTGTGCCTGGCTCACTGATGTCAGAGAACACAATGGAACAAATGCATTGCAGTCTTACTAAGCAGTGACTGGAAAATAGGTTTCAGTAGGTGCATCATTTGAAAGTGGAAGAGTATGTTTGAAAAAAAATTGACTCAGGGGACTTCACAATCTGTACAACGTATGACTATAAGTAGAGTATACCTGCTTATAAACTTTACTTTAAAAAAGTTTTTTATGTATATTATTGTTGTAGGCACAGGATGAAACGACTGTTCAGACAGTATAGCTTGATGATTAAAAGTACACAAAATCAAATCAGTGTTAAAAAATAAATGGTTAGGTTGACAGTTAAACTAAGCTACAATTGGTGGAAAAATCGAATAATTGCCTATGTAATGGTGTTATGCCACAAAATACTGCAACTATACAGAACCCTATATAAACATCTATGCCTAATAATATTTCAGTTTAAAATGTTTCCTCTCAAAGTTAGGAGTAAAATATCTTAATAATTATTTTGTCTTTCCAAAGTTGTGTGTAGACTGTAATTTTGTACTGCTGTGCCTTCGTTTTATGTATACCTCTTAATGTGTGTGTATGCATATTATGTTTCTATGTATGAGTATGTGTATATATATATATATATATATATATATATAAGTGTGTGTACATGTGTGTATGTATGTATATATATATATATATATATATATATGTATATATTTCTATCCTTTGTGACGCTGAGAAACGGCATTTCGATCTCCTTGTTTGTATCATACACACATAAAAATTGACAATAACTTACAGTGTGGATTAATATATTTCTCACAGTTGACAGACTACATTTCATTTAACCCTTATATAAACAATACTGTTACACTCTGTCCTTCAAAGGCCCCCCCGTACCCCGCTTTTCAATCAATATGCTCTAAAGCCGATGCATTTTCACACATGCATCATTTCCTTGTTCAGAGAATAAACAAAACTATGTGAAACACAATCCTCATCTGTATCCAGAAACCTAAATCTGTATTGTCCCGACGCACAAAGAATCCTGCACAGCTGGTATTCTCTGGCAGGACCTTAATGGGTTCTCAATTGCATTTCTTTCACGCCTCCCATTCTTTATTCTCATGCTGCTTCAGACGAACATAAACACCCCATCAGCTCCTCGTACTCTCTCAGAGACGCTCGGAGAGAGAACACGATGGCTTCCATGGGGATGCAGATGGCGGGATGTGCCTTGGCCCTTTTGGGCTGGATCGGGGTCATCATTGTCTGCGGCGCACCCATGTTGCGGGTCACGGCCTTCATTGGCAGTAACATAGTGACATCACAGACCATTTGGGAGGGTATCTGGATGAGCTGCGTGGTCCAGAGCACAGGCCAGATGCAGTGCAAGGTGTACGACTCCATGCTGGCCCTGGGGACTGACCTGCAGGGGGCCCGGGCCCTGGTGGTGGTCTCCATCGTCACAGGGCTCGCAGGGATCCTCATAGCGTTCGCTGGAGGAAAGTGCACCAACTTCATTCCTAATGACCGGGCCAAGGCGAGGGCCACTGTGGCGGCTGGCGTGCTGCTGATCATCAGTGGACTGCTCTGCCTTATCCCCGTGTCCTGGACCGCCAGCATCATCATCAGGGACTTCTACAACCCGGTGCTGATCGACGCCCAGAAGAGAGAGCTCGGGGCCTCTCTGTACATCGGCTGGGGGGCCGGGGCGCTGCTGGTTTTGGGAGGAGCGCTTCTGTGTACCAGCTGTCCCCCCAAAGAAGATGAGACCCCCTCGGTGAAGTACCTCCTGAACAAGCCTGGAGATAGCAAAGTGGATTCAATCGGATCTTACACACCAAACAAGACGTATATTTGAGAGTTTCTAAAGGGAGAAGTTGTTAAGGAAACTTGGAGTTAACCTGTACAAAGGACACACACACAGACAACCCACAATGAAGGAAACATGCACTTTGTTTTAATAAGATAGTCTCACTTTGTATGTATGAAGACGCTCTCTGTCTCACATTGCTTTGAATATTGTTGGTACTCTTCTTTGTGAACTTTTATATGGTGGTAGTTTGCAAAGTGGTTGGTATCAGTTGAAAAATGTTTTTATTGTAAATGCACTGTGCACCTTTTTAGTCCATTAGTATTTGTAATACTATATTTTTTCACAATAAATGACCTTCTATTGTAAACTCCTCCCTCTCCTGCTTCTTGTTTATGTACATTTGATAATGGCACCCGTGGTTATTTAAACCAAACACTGAGAGAACCTGTTTGACAGGTTCTTACCAGAGATGACTAACCAGGGAACAAAGATGGTGACTCTATCTTATCTATCTATCTAAAGACACACATGTCTAAGTTTTTGTTAGTGGTACATTTTGACCTGGATTTAAAAGATGCTTTGAAGTGTCGATGTTGTTCGTTCACATTCCCACCAAAATGATGGGATGGTTTAGTTTCGTCATGTTATCAGACTGCAGATCAGTGGACAAAAGGGAGGGTCAAACTGTCTCAGGATGTGTCTGAGGAGCTTAAAATATTCAAAATGAAAACTTTCTCCACTCTGTGTTTCTGTTTTCTCAGGGGTTTACTTTCATGTTTACGCTCCACAGCTACTTTCTTTATTCTAACAAGGGAATAAAGGTAGATGTTTATGAGTATCAATAAGGTCTATACTCGTTTTTTTTAACCAGTATCTTAAAGATAAGTGAAAAGGCCTCTCTGGATTTAATGTAACAGTCATATTTGCAGAAATGCGGTGTATTTGGACTTGAATTTGGAAGTAATTTGCCCTGACATGTTATCCAGGAAATTCCTTATTTAGTTCAGACAAATACACAGATTTGACAAAAGGAATGTATGTTTTTCTGTGCTTTTTTCGCCTTGGTCATGAAACCTTCCGACAAATGAATTATATTGTTTTTTAAATCTAAAATATACTATTGAGTCTAAGAGAGATGTGAACAATTTCTGTCAGATAACTCTCATGCAAACAAACAGTAACTCTGCAACACCAAAAACCTTCAGGAAAAAAATGGATGATTCAAATTATTCTTTGTTCTTTTCTGTCCTTTTTTTAAATAACAAACATATTTTTTTAACATTTCTCTGTTATTAAAACCCAGATTCTTCCAGTCATCAGCAATGTTTGCCCCCATTCGTTTTCATTGTGTTTGTCTCTTTTGGCACACTGCAACCTAGTGGCCATTTGCCACCATGCCTAGACATTCTCTCAAATTGTATCTATTGACGTCAGCTACAGAAAACAACTTCTGCTTTACGGTTAAACATCTCTGCAGCGTCACATCTGATAACAGTGAACACAGTTTATCTGCACAGTGACACTTTGTAACTTGTGTCTGTCTGCATTTCTTATTATACATCATATTACTTTATATAAGTATTCACCTAGTTTAGAACACAGACATCTGTTTACAGTCTAAATGTGCATTTATTTTTGATTTACTATATGCAGCGTTTTATTCCACTGTACACTGTTTAATTTTACATTCTGAATGTATTTGATCTTATTCTATTGTACATGTATATAGCTTTTTGGGGGGGGAGAGGGGGCATTTTACTTTGGGTAACATGCATCATTCCCTTCTTGCACTTTTTGTATAACTCTTTATGTCTTAATGTTTTTTAGGTATAATGTATGTTGAATTGTTGTTTTCATCGCCATAACTACGCTGTAAATGAAAATAAAGCATTTGAGTCGTATACATCTTTGAATCTTTAGTATCTTTAGTTGTACGTTGAAATGAAAACAATACATGAACATTATGTCGACATGATGCAGAAAAACACTATTTAGTTGTAGGTTAACGACTGAAAAACATCCCAAACCAAATGACTTTGAATCTTAACAGATCTCTTTATTCCATCCAGCAGCATTTTATTTTAAATGAATCTCAAATACTAATAAGTATGCAGACGTGTCTGTATGGGGATAAATCAATGTTTGCATGATACTGAGTAACAAATTGCAGATTGAATTAACTTGAATCTCTCAGATGCCCATTCTGAATAAAAACCTCCATGTTTTTGACTCTCCCCCTCCTCTATGTTTCCAGGCAGTGCGCGGCTGCACAGTGTCCCATGGCTGTGCAGGAGCTGGGCATCAGCCTGTCCATGATGGGCGTGGCTGGGACCATCCTGATCTGTGCCCTGCCCATGTGGAAGGTGACGGCGTTCATCGGCACCCACCTGGTGGTCATGCAGGTGTTCTGGGAGGGTCTGTGGATGACCTGTGTGAGTGAGTACACAGGCCAGATGCAGTGTAAGCTGTACGACGCTCTGCTGGACCTGGCCCCCGACCTGCAGGCGGCCCGCGGCCTCATCTGCATCAGCCTGGTGCTCGGGTGTCTGGGGTTCCTCATCTTCCTCCTGGGGGCACGCTGCACCAACTGCCTGAGCCACCCGAGGTTCAAGGCCCGGGTGGTGCTGGGCTCCGGGGCCATCTTCTGCCTGGCGGCCCTCACCACCATAGTTGCTGTTTCCTGGTCGGCCAACTCCATCATCAGAGACTTCCACAACCCACGTGTCCCTGAGGTGCTGAAGAGGGAGCTGGGGGCAGCCATTTATATTGGGTTTGTGTCATCTGGGCTGCTATTCTGCGGGGGGGCCATTCTGTGCACCAGCTGCCCCCCACAGAGAGGCAGGTTTCCCTCCAGTGGGTACACATTGGCCAGGGCACCCACACACAGCAGCTACGCCTTCAAGAACTACGTTTGACCTGAGGACTGGAAACATTACACCACTTAAAGAACCAGTGTGTGGGATTTAGTGCCATAAGAAGGCAGATTCCTCTAACCTAGGGGTCTCAAACTCAATTTCATCGCGGGCCACATCAGCATTATGGTTGCACTCAAAGGGCCGGTTGTAACTTTAAGACGACATAAATATACATATATAAATATATAATATATATAAAATAATGTATTATATTACATTATTGCCTCTGCATTGGATTATTATCGGATAGGGTAATAACTTCATAATTAACAACGTCTGAAAGCAGAAAGTCTAGGACAAATAATTACAAATAATTGCAAGTCTCTTCAATGCGCATGTCACAAAATGAGATGCATTGTGGGACATGTAGTTTATGGGCAACATGCTTCTGTAAAGCGGCATGTAGCCGTATAATAAATGTATTATATTCTTTGCAAGCTCTTGCAGGTCTCATAAAATGGAGTACGGGCCGGACTTGGCCCGCAGGCCTTGAGTTTGATACCCCTGCTCTAACCCCTCCCATTCCATTCTTTTTTTTCATTGGTTCAAAAACATACAATGATAAGAACAACAGAGAAATACCCAACAATAAGTCTTTAAAAACAAGGTGGCGTAGAACATTTGATACACATACACAACAAAAATAGAACAAAATAACAATGAAAGGAAAAATGTGTCATGAACTTAGTATTTGTGTTGATAGTTTCTTGTTTTATTCTGAAACGTGTTCCCTCTTTGTGTCTTGTCTGGTTAAACTTCCTGTATTTGAGTGTTCCCCTGATTGTCTGATTGTGTTCACCTTGTGTTTCTGCTTGGCCTCCCCAGCTGTGTCTTGTCTCTGTGATTAGTCTTGTGTGTACAGTATTTAGTCTTGTATTCCTTTTTGTCCTTTGCCGGTTCGTCATCGTTCCCTTGGTGTGGTTCCTAATCTCTTGTCTGCCTGTTCTTGCTTTCCCTTGTCTGCCCTCCTGTGTCCTCGAAGTCTTCCCGATTGTTGCTAGTTGTTGTTTGACCTTGTCTGCTTCTCCAGTTTTTGTGTTTATTTTGTACCAGCTTCTTATTTAATAAAGCTTGCCTTTTGTTAGACTCTTATACCTGCCTCCCCTGTTTTATAGGCTACTGCATTTGGGTCCTGCCTTTGTTACCCCCTGTGACAAAAGTCGTGAAAGTAATAAAGGATTCAAAAAAGGATAATTATGAATATGTTTGAGAAAAGCAATACATCAATCAAATAACCCCTTCCTTTTCAAGTGGGTCAGAGAACTACAGTGGCCTTGAACATGCAGAAAGCTCTCTGGATGTAGCCCTGTGCAAACAGCATGTTCAAGGGGGGGGGGGGGGGGGGGGCTGCTGCACTGCTTTGATGTTCTGTATAAATCAAAAGATGAGGAATGGGGGAGGGGCATTGTTGGAACGCTCCAAGGGAACGCATACGGCAAAACGCATCTGAGTAACGCAAACGCAAACGCCAAAAAGCTTCCGCCCACACGCAATATACACCGGATTGTGTCAAGCTCCACGAGACAGCTCCGTTTACATCCAACCGCTGGAAAAGCTGCAGTACATATGCCGAACCTGTACGTGGCGCTGTAACTTCCTCCACAAAAGCAGCAACTTCCTCCACAAAAGCAGCGAAGACGAATGGTTGTCATGGCTGCACTTCTGTTTATTCTCCGCGGTGGGGGCGGAGGGAACCGCGCAGAGTTTTTCGCCGGTCAATGTGTGTTAAAGTTTAAATCTTCATGCTTCCTCATGCAGCAGCTGATCCAGTAAGTAAACCCGACAGTAAAAATAAACATATTTATAACTAGTTTAGGTAGTTTGAGAGGTAATTAAAATAGCTAAGGGTGGTGATCTGACTTGAAGTGTGTGTTTTGCTCCCGCTGCTTCACAGCCGGAGGAGCTGCGTGTCTCCGTCCTGTCAGATTAGACTTCACTCGCGTTTATGTCCATATCGAGATAAAGATAAATAATCTGAATTCAGTGTGCAGTGTACTTTTGCGGGGGTGAGCAGCAGAGGTGGGGAGAGGCAGGGCTATGAAATGGATGACCGTATAGGCGACCCCACGGCCCCGTTGGACCCCCCAGAGCGCTCCGTTCCCAGATCTATCCACCTTTGGACCCGTTGTCGTTTGCGGGGTCTGTTTCTACGTTTCCGTTACGGCGTCGTCGAGCTTAAAGGGCTATACGCATGAGAAATATGCGGATTCAACCCGTTTTCGTCCCCGTGGAGCCTAGGCCTTAGTAAAGGGCTATACGCATGAGAAATATGCGGATTCAACCCGTTTTCGTCCCCGTGGAGCCTAGGCCTTAGTCACAGAGCCGAACTGTCGTCTTTATATATGGGACATTACATCACATTCCTTTTAGCTAACACCTTTATAAAAAGTTACTTACAATAACATTCAACCATAAAGATACAAACTCAGAACAGTGAGACACATGCATTCTAAGCTAACAGAAACAAAATGATATGTAGTTTCAGGTCATTCATGTTGATGAAAACATGGTTATTAATATCCAATTACTGCCAATAAATCCCCCTAGATCCTTCTCATTGGACCTTTAAGGATACATGTATTGAGCTGTTGGATATAATGCAATTGACAGTAGTTTTTTTAATATAGTATATTGAAAAAGAAAACATGTTGAAATATATAAAAGGACCATGAATAAATGATTTGCTATACATTCTAATATTATGTAATGTTAATGAATGACACATGACAATGTTTGCATCTTGTTTACATCGTAGAATTCAAATAAACTCTGGAGTAAACATGTGGTAGTTGAATCAGTGTTCTGTAGAGATACACTTTTATTAGGTGTCTTTTCCCCACCCCCCAACCCCAGGAGCTCCACTGCCCCTTACATGTGAGAGCAACAGAGCCAATCACATTAATAACTTGTGCTCTTTAAATCAAGTTCCCTCTCAGAACAAGACACAGCGTCTGAAAATGAGCGCACAGGGGACGCTTTGTTTTGAAAGGGATTGTTTTGAAACCATGGCAGAGCAAACAGAGGAATCTCCCTGCTCCACCTCCTCCACCCAGCAGCAGCAAGGCCGTGCCTTCTCTTCAGAAATGCCACAGAACTGGCTTCCCCTTTCTGAACACACACACACACACACACACACACACACACACACACACACACACACACACACACACACACACACACACACACACACACACACACACACACACACACACACACACACACACACACACACACACACACACACACACACACACCGCGCCCTGCAGCCAGCCGCCAGCTGTTTCTGGTTAGACGGCCGGGCCTGCAGTCATGGAGCGGCAGCTGGAGCTCGCTGCCCTCGGCGTGGCATTCACCGGGTGGCTGTGTGCCATCCTGACCCGCTGCCTGGCCCTGTGGACGGTGAGCGGCACCATGGACAACAACACGGCCACGCTGCCTGCCTACTGGGACGGGGTGTGGCTGGAATGGGATCACTGGGACCTGGCTCACGATGGAAGTCTGCACTGCTCCTTCTACCAGTCTCTCATGTCTCTCTCTGGAAACTTCCGCACGTGGAGAGCCCTCATTATGGCGGCTGTCGGTGCCGGGGCTTTGGCTGTGGTGATAGGGGGGGTGGGGGCGGTGTGGTTCCCCCTGAGGGGACAGGTCAAAGTGTTTTCTGGAGCTCTCTTTGTTTTGTCTGGGATCGTGCTGCTGGTTCCCATTGCATGGACGTGCCATCACACCAGTCAGCCACTGGAGGGGGCCGCCCTGCTGAGGAGAGCCTGGGGGCCTGCGCTCTACCTCGGGTGGATCTCCTTTGCTCTGATGCTGGCGGGGGGTGTGTTTCTCACCACCAGGTGCCCCACAGGGGGTCCGGTGCAGCTGCCTGCAGGGGGCGGGCCCTCCAGTCCAGAGGAGGAGGCCGCCCACCCGCTGAGCCGCATCCACAGGACTGCGTTCACTCAGAGCCAGTATGAGCGCCAAGCAGGGCCCGTGTGAGGGGACTGGATATAACTGGAAAACCATCAACATGTGAAGTGACTGGGGGGGGGGGGGGGGACATGCTGTGTCATGTTTTATTGTTAGTGTTTTTAATTTGCATCCTGTTTTGTATTTCTATTGAAGCTAACACTGTGTAGCTATATTTAATGCCATTACTAATACCAAACTGACATTAAGACATACAGCCCTCTGATCACTAATAATGTCTTAAATGTGAGTGAATATTGATACTAAAACTAAAGACACATTGCACTACATCAGCTGGTTTCAGTGGCAAACATGTTTACACCCGAGGTGAATTCTTCTGCACAAAAGGACACTGGAATAAAGCTTTGCACTTGACTCAGACATCTTTGTTTACAGGAGTTCTTCTAATGTCATGCTTTACAGTGATTTTAACTCATGCCACAGAACGCAACATAGATGTCTATTTTGAGTATTTGTATTTTAAAATAAAGACGGAATCTGACCAATTGTCTTTGCACATTTGTGCTTTTTAATGACTGATGACACAATTGCTGTTTTGTTTTATCAAGGAAGCTACATTTCTGATTCTGTTCTCTGAACTAAGTTAACTTGAGTTCAAATGCTCATATCGACTTGAATATCAAAAAGAATGAAACTTTTATTTGCTTTCATATTTCTGCAGTTATACCATTCTAAGCCGTGTTTAGAATTACTTCGTAGGAAAAATACAAATTTAAATGTGTCAAATAGTCTTTTAAGCTATATTTACAAAAAAAGTATGGTAGCCTTTTAGGAACACTGCATATAAATCAGAATACAATATTCAAGATAATACCTGTAGGGTTTTATATTGTGTACTGTGTAGCTCTTCTTCATAAGGAGTACAACTTTTATTTTCTGTCCTTTTTTGCAACATTCTGATTTCAATTGATTTGAAAATGAACTGTGTGTGTAGGAGGAAACTCACCATCTAAACACAACAAAGAAGATGTCAAGTTAATATATTTATTTGTTAGAGAGAAAGATCATTCATTATGACAAAATATACGTTTTTGGGTTAAGGTAATTATCCATAACACTGGGATATAGAGCGTGACTATATGGCACACAGTCTGACAGTTGTGTTTGTGAAGCTGAATAAATAAGTCACTGCAGGCCAGAGCTTTTACTTTTTCAGTAAAATGTAACAAATTAATTTACATACTCAAATTAATTTTCAAAATACATTCCACCGAGCACGCACATCTGGCAAAAACCTTTCCTTCAGTTAAACACATCTGTTTAAACACTCTGGAACAGGATTGGCTGAACTTTGCAAGAGTCTCCTCAAAAATATAGTCCCTCAGAGATACAGTCTGTGAGGGGGGGTGAAGCGTGTCAGTGTGGATGACAGTCCTGATGGGGGGGGGGGTTCCTAGAACTTCTCCTCTCCCTCCTCCACATCCTTCAGATTGAGGACCTCCAGAGACCCCCGGCCTTTAGTCTCACAGCGGATCAGCTCGTCAATCTCCCTGAAGCAGCCGGGGTCCACCAGAACCACCTGGGGAATAAGATTTGTATTATTAAACTTATGTATTTATTATTAATATGTGGTGCTATAGGATTCAAGGCAAACAGTGAGGTGACTCTCAGATGTTAACAACCTCAGGGTAACGAGGTATTTTGTTTAGCTTTTAACTTAGGACCTGTGTCAATAACACAGCATACGTGTGTGCATTTGATTGTAAAGTTTTGTATATTTACACCCTCCACCTTAAAGAAGGGGCCTCATCCAGCTGAGGAATTGGGACTAATAGTGTCTACCAGTATTTATCTAATGGTGTCTGGTGTCTGGTGTCCTCACCATCTCCAGCTCCTCGTCGAAGTCCTCGCTCTCCACCACCTGCAGCAGCGGCTTCAGCTTCTCCTTCAGCCTCTTGGCCTCCTTGGCTGGCAGCACCAGGCGCAGCCTCATGTGGGCCCTCTGGATCTCCATGGACTCCTTCAGCTGCCGGATCACTTCCAGAGCCTGGGAACAGCCGAGTCAGTTAGTCAAAATGTGTACAATAGGGCTGCACAATAAATGTATTGTAAAATATAACATTTCCAGCAGTTCAAATTCCATTTTGAATGAAGTTTTGTGGAGCTACAGCGAAATCTAGACCTACAAAAAAACATCTTTGCCAGGTGCAGATCTCATAAAAAATTCCACCATGATTGTTTTAATATAGCTTTCAGTGATAATGCGGCAAAAATGATCACTCCCGCCTGTATCACAATATCCTATTCCCAGTACAAATATGTCAATACACTTGTACGGCTTAATTTTCTCTGCACACAGAAGACAGCAGATGTTGAAATAAATGTAGCTGCAGAGGAAATGCCGGTTTGCTCCACTTGGGGTGAGCAAAGATCAATATCTTTTTTAGACGCCTGTGAAATAAATTAAAAGAATCCCCCTCCAGATGTGGAAATATATGATTCCAACTGTTTTTGTGTCTTTATTGGCTCCAGGAAAAAGCTGTCGGTGTAGATTCATCTTTTGAAATCCATCCAACATCATTTTACGTACGTTTATACATATGTCTTTGAAAGGTCTACATAATTATATGGTAATACATCAAACTAACAGATCAAATCAATTGTATGCAGCTGAAATACATTCCAATTATTTGTGAAGGGACACTAATGCCTCTCCTCACCTGCTGCTTGGTGCTCTTGTTGGCCTTCACAGAGTAGTGGATGTCCTTCATCGCCCGCTCGATGAGGCTGACTGTGTACGGCCTCTTCGTCTCGGGGTTCACACACTTCTCTGCCACGATAGACGCAATGTCCCTGAACATGGTCTCCAGCTGAGAGTGCCTCTCCTTGTCTGACACCTGGAGCTCTCCTTTGGTGAGGATCTGTCCCACAGAAAAGGAAAGGAAACAGAAGATGAGGTTTAGGGAACACACCACAGGTAATGATGATGAATAAGAGGATGGCAGGAAGTTATTACTGACCTCTTTACAGATTTCCGTCTGATCATCTGTCCCAAAAGACTTTGTCAAGTCATCCTTCTTAGCCACCTGACCCTTGGACACATTAACGAACACTGAGTGTGTCTGCAAAACCTCATCCAGGTCTTTCTCTCTGGAAGAAAGTCAAATAAAATGGACATTCAGAGTTGGATAACACAGAATGACAGGCATCAAACTCACATTTATGAAGAAAAACGGCTTGATTTTATGATACAAAAGACATGTTTCGTCAAATCCTTTAAATATTTTGGGTTTTCATATAAATGTTACTCACGCTCCTGCTCTCCAGCTCATCACTGAATTCTTGTAGCACGCGATTTCAAAGCGCTTCCCGCCTTTCTTTATCCTCACCACCGCCACATTAGTCAGCCGTATTTGATTTGTTGGCGTGAATATAGACATGTTTAAGTTCAATGAGACAGACCGCTCTGTCTGAAGCTGCTGTTGACAAAAACAAGTAGTGCTGCGACGGCAATGCGCTCCAAACGTGCGTTTCCAATAAGTGTCCGCTGTGAAACAATGACGTCAAACAACAGTTCCGCTTTGCCTCTTCGGTCGAATTAAACTCAGTTAGTGGGTTATGCTAGTTTTAAAAATAAAGGAATTAAATGAAATATTAAAGAAATTATATAAATCAATATATACATGTTGGTTTGATGAGACAACATGTTATTGTGACTACGCAGGTAAGTCTATTAAAAACGTTTTATTTCGAAAGTGTTAAACGGAAGTGTTTCTATCTTATTGTGTGACGCCTTAACTAGTGGAATGCATTTCCACACTCTGACCACCAGAGGGAAGGAGCTGCTTCTGATTATCTATGAATTTGGAGTTGTAATCTCTACCTTTGTACACTACAGCGAGTCCAAAATTAATCATTTTAGAAATCAAATGAAGTGTCATTCTTTTAAAATGTTGAAGGTTTTTGAAAGTTCAATATGTAACACGATTAAAGCTGGGTTTTGAGTCCGACCCTTTGGATTTGTGAATATGATATTTGCCAATAATAATTAGAAGCTGAATAATATAGTTCATATTGTTATCAATTCCATAAAAAAGAAATACAACATCACATCAAATAAACGAATATATAAATGAATACCCAATTTAAAATGTATAAAGTTTTAATATCAGTCCAAAAATACCATTGAATAATCACAGTGAAAAGAAAGATGGCATAGGCTATTGTTTCTCTATCCGAAATGACATAACGCATATCAATAATCAATATTAAGGTTATATCTTTCCAATACCTCTTAAGCGGGGTAAATTCTTTACAAAATCTTAAAAGATACTTATTTTACTTTATTATTAATACAATATTTATTTCAAATACAACAGGATTTTTTCCCACTGTAAATAGATCATTATTGAAGACCAAAATAACTTTGCAGCAGGAGCTGTAACACAGTCCAAAGCATTTCTTATGTGTCCGTTTCTACATTTATTCAGACAGGCGGCTGTGGTGACATTGATGCCAGATTCAGATGTTGACGAGTGTATTGAAAAATACAAGTCTCTACTGTCCTCAAGTGGCCATGGTGAGAAGTTGCATCAATAAAATAGTCACAAGTCAGAGGGGATTTTTATCCGTACACTTCCGGTCATTACTTTCAAAATTAAATGTCCAAACTGAAGCAAGCAGAAACAAATGGACTGTTTGAGATGGGGGTTTAATAGTTAAAATAGCAAAAGAAACAAAACCCTCTCCTTGCTTGAAACGGGAGTTTTCAATGCGAGAAATAGATAGAATTTTTGACACAATATCCCCTTTTTGAATGTCGCATGGACCGCCTTTAGCGTCACAACAAAACACAGAACTACACTTCCCGGCATTCCACAAAACATGGTTGCACACAACATCAGCTGCAAATTACTTTCTATTTGAACACACAATTAACAGCGACGCTGAGTGTCTTCAGAGTTATTATGCTCTGCATAAGTAGTGTGTCTGCATTGGAAACTGAAGGTACGTTAATTAAAAGTGTTAAAGGAACAGGAAACGAGCTTAGCATCATGTTTCTGCTAGTGTTTGTACTATTGTTAACTAGCATGTTTGCTAGCCACCCGCCTTTATTCAAGGCAGGTGAACTAAGGTTGGTGATACATTATGTTAAGTCCTGTTGCTGCTTTGATATAAGCCTCTGTTGCTCAATGAACGTGTACACTTAGGGAAACTTGTTAACCTTTATTATTCATATTATTTGTCTAAAAAAACAAGAAGACCAAACTTGATGTATTTCCCCCCCAGGCTCACAGAATGCTCTCAGTCCCGGTGAGAGCTATCTTTTGTCGGTATGGCACCACCGGCTGTACCTGTACTCCGCCGCTGCTCTCCTCTTCGGGGTCTGGTTCCTCCTGAAGGTGGCTCTGAACAAGGTAAGGTGCTACTGCTCACATCCCTGTGTGCTCCTGTTTGCATTGATGAACAGTTTAGTCAGTGGTTGCTGGTACTCAGTTCAAGATTCAAGGTATTTTATTGTATACAGTTTAACCAGAGGTGGGAGAAGTACTCAGATCTTGTATTAAGTAAAAGTAGAAGTACCAGAGTGTAGGAATACTCCGTTTCAATTAAAAGTCCTGCATTAAAAATGTTACTCAAGTAAAAGTATAAATATCAAAATATACTTAAAGTACCAAAAGTATAAGTAGTCATTGTGCATATTTACAGACATTTCAGAATAATATATATGATATGTTTTATAATTATTGATAATGAAAGTGTTATCAAAGCTGGTAAAGGTGCAGCTAGTTTGAATGACTTTGTATACTGCAGCAGGGACGTGCACAGACATTTTGGGGGGCGGGAGCTCAAGTGAGAAAAAGGGCACTTCCCATAATCATTTATAGAAAAATGTTTTAAAACAAAAAGTTAAATATAGTTGCACATTTCTCAGGGTTCGTACGGTCATTGAAAACCTGGAAAAGTCATGGAAATTCAAAATGCAAATTCCAGGCCCTGGAAAAGTTATGGAAAACAATATTTTTCCCAAAGTTTTGGAAAAGTCATGGAAATGTAACTAAAGTTGCGTCAAATATAATTTACATTTGATCTAATCGCCGAAATAATCTGCGGTCGCGAGCTGTTATGTGCCATCATGATGCGCATGGTGTTATTTTTTAATATATGAACCGCGAGCTGTGTGCTCGAGTCTTCCTGCCTGTCGGGCCGGTTGAACTCTGCTGCTCCGGGATGAGGGTCAGCTACATTATCTACGGTGCGTTCGTTAACAGTAACTGTGCGGAGTTACTGTGGCACAGACTGCGCCGCTGGTGAACAGCTGTTAGAACGGGCCGTTCAGGTGTTCAGAGCAGAGCGGCAGAGCGTGATGTGCACTGAAAAGTTTTTCTGTCGCAATATTATTTAAGGAATCGTTGAGCTAGCTAGCTAGCATACATTGTCACTATCTGCTAACGTTAGCTTTAGCCTTCGTTTTCTAATAGTTTTTTATAGGCTATAAACAGGTGGTATAAGTATAGATATTGTACTAGAGTAAAAGTAGAAGTACTCAGATCTTGTACTTTAGTAAAAGTAGAAGTACTCAGATCTTGTATTAGAGTAAAAGTAGAAGTACTCAGATCTTGTACTTGAGTAAAAGTAGAAGTACTCAGATCTTGTACTTCAGTAAAAGTAGAAGTACCAGAGTGTACAGTAGGAATACTCTGTTTCAGTAAAAGTCCTGCATTCAAAATGTTCCTCAAGTAAAAGTAGAAAAGTATTATCATCAAAATATAGTGAAAGTAGCGACAGTAAAAGTAGTGATTCTGCAGATTGGTCCATTTCAGAATAATATATATGATATGTTTTATAATGATTGATCATGAAAGTGTTCTCAAAGCTGGTAAAGGTGCAGCTAGTTTGAATGACTTTGTATACTGCAGGGTAGCTTGTGAATTTACTCCAGGTGGAACTAAAGTCTGATTTAACACTTGATTATATTTCACATCATTCATCCACATCTGTAAAGTAACTAAAGGTATTAAATACATGTAGTGGAGTAATAGTACACCATTTACCTCTGAACTGTAGAGGAGTAAGAAGTACAAAGTAGCAAAACATTGAAATACTTAAATAAAGTACAAGTATCTCAAAATTGTACCCAAGTATAGTACTTCAGTTTATGAACTTAGTTACTTTACACCACTGGCTATAAAGATAGAAAGACTAAGCCTTACACAGAGGCATGAAAATACATTTTCAAAATGCTCAACAGAGCTGCCAAAATGATAAACTGACTGCTACACAATTCAAATAAATGCTTTTATATATTTCTATTAGATGTGACTCTTTAGCGTTTCTGTTATTATTAACACTGCTGCTTTAGTTGTTCTGACTGCTAAAATCCTCTGTTATTCCTATGTTCCTGTTATGGGGTCGGGGGGGGGGGGGGCTCGGATCCTTGTCACCTTTTTCATACCTGAGTTTGCATCCCTGACTACAGTTGCTTTAGTGTGTAGAAGCTAGTAAGCCTACTATTTGATTTGTTTTAGATAGGCACAACATGTTTCATATGCAGACCTTATTTTCCTGTTCCATGTTAAAATAAACAATTTTCAGTGGTAATTCTTTTTGGTCATGGAAAATTAGGTAAAGGTCATTGAGAAGTCATTGAAAATCATTGGTGAAAAAGTGTATGAACCCTGATCTCTGACTTACTGACCAATTTATTGTAATACCCAAGCAATTGTTTAATACTCAACAGAATTCTACAAAATAATCAGCTAACACAGAGACAATAGCCGCTTTCACACCAAGTACTTTGCCGTACTTAGTTCCCAGCACTTAGTTTCCAGCACTTAGCCGATCGCGTTCACACCGGAATACGTTCCCTGAGGGAAGATTACGCAAATGAAGCCGCTGACGTCACTTCTTCTTCTGCTTTGGGTTTACTGGCAGGCCGCAAACTACTTCACGGCGTATACTGCCACCCGAAGTCCCCGGCCGGAAGTCCCCGGAGTTGGGGACTGGCTTCAGTAGAAGCTGCTGGGGGGGACTGGCTTCAGTAGAAGCTGCTGGGACTCCCAGCAGCTTCTACTGAAGCCTTCCGAGTAAATCGCCAGAACGCCGACACCTCCTCATCACTCCACCGCTCCAATGTTTTTTTTTGTGTTGCCATAAGTTATTCTCTCTCCGTTGGTGCGCGGGGCTAATGCTAATGCTAATAGTGCTAACGCCAACAAATACAATTCGCCCAGCCAATCAGAAATTGGAACTTTTTTCTCCCCAGGAAAGTACCACCTCTAGCAGGCACTAAAAAGGGGGTAAATGTTCTCATGAACTAAGTTCTCTTTTTGGTGTGAACGCAAAATCCCAGGAACTATCGGAACTAAACGGGAAAAGTACGGGGAAAAGTACTCCGTTGTGAAAGCGCCTAATGGTCTTCTTTAGTATTCACTACGCACAAGAGCAGACAACAAACTAGTACAATTAATAGTTATTAAATCAGCACACAACAATCAAAATTATGAAGTTACTGTTTAAAGGAAACCTATCATGCTATATTTAAATGATATATTGTAGGGCCATACCTATATAAGGTATATTTATACGTTTCTGTTTTCGAAATACCAAACAGATCATGCATTTTAGCCATGCCTCATTTCGCTCTATGTGCTGTTTGCTGTCTACGGGTCTGATTCTGTGAGCTGCAGCTGACCACGCCCCCCTACAGGAGAGGGGAGATGTGCTCTGATCAGCTGCTGGGCTGTCAGAATAGGGGGAGAAAAAGAGATCTCCGTCCTCCGTGTTATTATAGGCCTATAGAGTCGTTATTCATTTGTTTTAAAGCTCAATAAATAACAAAGAAGACCTTTGACCGGCACTTTTCTAATTTTGTCCGGAAGATTTAAACTTTAACGGACATCTTGACCGGCGAAAGAAACTGAAACTGAAACTCTGCCGCACGGTCCCCTCGTTCCTTGGAAGAGGCGGAGAGGTGGGTGTTTGTCATCTGCTGGTGGACTAACCGGAGAGAATTACAGTGCTTGCCTCGACGGGGAGGGATTGCATTGAATTAAAGCAGCAGGAGCAAACGCTTGCCTCGGGGAGGGAGAAAGAAAGCCACAGCTAACCAAGTCTTCTTCGCTGCTTTTGTGGCAGACTACAGCGCCACTTACAGGCCTGGCATATGTACTACAGCGTCTCCAGCGCTTTCGAACGGCAATGGCCGTGGCTGTCTCCTCCTGATTGGTGAAGTTGGCCCAATAGCCGTAGCGCCACCGTCCTGACGTCAGGACAGTGTTCAAATCTGGATCAGTTTTTATCAGATCCGTTGCAGCCCCTTTTTTTAGAGATTTGGGTATGGAGGAAAATAGAGAGGGTTGTGTTTTCTGACACTTGGTGAGTTCCCTGGAACACCGGGGACACACATTCATGTATAAAAGACGTACAAAAGTGCATTTTGAATGATAGGTCCCCTTTAAGGCAGGACATTACAGGCAACAATATCGTTTTTTCATGTACTTGTACATTTTGTTATTTTGGTCTATTTTGCTTCCATGTTTTCTTTCACTCTAATGGAAAGAAAAGTTCCCAAAAACACATAGAAATGGTGTTCGTTTTACTACCATGTCTGAATTAATCTATAGATTTAAAGCTAATCTGCATATTTAAACATAAAAGTTCAGGGGAAAATACTGACTTGACGTAAGTAACTATCTGGGGAAGTTGTGAGGTGCTATGTTTTTTTGTTTGTTTGTTGTTTTATCCTTTTCACCTGCCTTGGTAACTGCATGCAAATTAGCTCATTTTAATTAGGCCTAGTTAACACCTAATTTGCATATCAATGTGGCGATTGTGATGACGTTATTAAGGCCCTGACACACCAGGCCGAAATCGGCCGTTTTCGTTAGTCGGACGACGAAGCGTGCCCTGTTGCCCAAACTCAATTTGGTGTGTCCCGCACCGTCGGCCGTGACACGCCTTATTTGGCCTTTCATGGCCGACGCACGGCCGATTCAACATATTGAATCGGCCGTGTGTCGGCCACAGGCAGTCGGACAAAGAAATCACTCTGATTGGCTGTTCAGCTAGCGAATCAGTGCATGAGAAGCGAAACGGTTGCTTGAGAATGTCTTCCACAAGCAACACTCCAATGGCTGATAGCTCCAGTACCGCACGAAACATGTTTTCGATGGACGAGAGTGAAAATGGAACGCACACGCTATTTGTTGTTTGTTTAGATCACATAGTCTGTTCTTCTTCTCTGTCTTCCGGTTGTTGCCTCTTTTGAATGACGAATACACACTATCGCCGCCTGCTGGTAAGGAGAGTTATTGCCACTCACGCATGCGCAGTTCGTACTAGGGATGGGAACGATTAATCGAATATTAGAATATTTGAAATTATTCAGGTATTCGAATAATTATTCAGGTATTCG